ATGGGAATCCCAGAACACTTGATCGTGCTAATGCAAAACCTATACTTGGACCAAGAGGCAGGCGTCAAAGAAAACACTGCATGGTTCAAAATTGGGAAGGGCATACACCAGGGATGCATCCTATCTCCATACCTTTTCAACCTATATGCAGAAAAGATTATCCAGGAGGCTGGGCTCTATGAGGAGAAATGTGGGGTCAAGATTGGTGGACGATTTATCAACAATCTGCGTTATGCAGATGACAAAACCCTGCTTGCTGAAACTGAAGAGGACCGGAAGCACCTACTGCAGAGGGTCAAGGACTTAAGCCTCCAATATGGATTGAGGCTCAACGTCAAGAAGACAAGGATTCTCACCATTGGACCAGTTGGCAGCATCAGGATGGATAGTGACGAGACTGAGATTGTACACAGCTTTAGTCTGCTTGGCTCCATGGTCAACACTCTTGGTACCAGTAGCCAGGAAATTAAAAGGCGCTTTGCCATGGGAAAGTCTGCTGTTAGGGACCTCTCCAAAGTACTGAAGAGCAATGGTGTCTCTCTGGAGACTAAGGTGCATTTGATACAGGTCATGGTGTTTGCAATCACTTGTTATGCATCAGACAGTTGGACAATGACAAAGGAGGATAGAAGGAGAATTAATGTCTTTGAGCTGTGGTGTTGGAGAAGAAATTTGAGAATACCATGGACTGCTAGGAAAACAAACAGATTCATACTGGAAAGGGTTAAACCGGGTGGCTCCTTGGAGGCAAGGATTCTGAGGCTCCATCTAACATACTTTGGAGATGTTGTAAGGAGAGACTGGTCCTTGGAGAAGGACATCATGCTTGGGAGGGTGGAGGGACAGTGCAGGAGGGGAAGACCCTCTATGAGGTGGATTGATTCAGTGACTGGGATAATCAGGATGGGAGTGTCAGAGACAGTGCGATTGGCACAGGACAGAGCAGAGTATAGGGCTGTTGACATAGGATCGCTATGAGTTGCAAGCAACTCGATGGCACATAGCAACAACAACAACTTTTTTTTTAATGAGAAACACACAGAAAACAAAAACCTCATTGGGCTTTGGTAAACGGATTTATGAAAAAGTAATGTAGCTATATAACCAACATATACCTTCAGCTATGTTCCAAATATTCCACAAGTTAAATAAAGTGATTTGTACATTAAAATTAAAAACAAACTGTATTTAAGAATGTTTTGAAGAAAACCTGCCCGAGCCCTCCTAGATCCTTACCTGTCAAGTTAGAGTAACTCTGTTTATCAAATGAGGATTATGTACTATGAAACAAAACTAAATAGAGCTTTTTAAAAATCATATAAACAAAAAAAATTTGTATATTGTGATTTAAGCATACTATTTTTTCTTTTTATGAGTTTTTATTATTATTATTAATTTTAATGAAATTTACAGATATTTTGGATATCCATTCATTCATTGTTGCACTTTTCTCCCTGCCCACCCCTCCTCTCCAGTTCATTCTTCTCTTTGAAAAGTAAAAGAAAAATTCTTTCATTGTTATACAATCCCTCTCCCCAAGCCCACTCTACTATGCAGCCTTTGTTCTGGATTCATGTAATGACAATGGTACTTAATCATATATACCTTTTAAACATACTATTTCAAAGCATGTATATTTTTAAATTTAATACATTGTCAAATGTACATATCGTTGTTGTGTAACATCAAGTTGGATCCAACAGATGATGTTGACGGGGACAGTTCCCCTTCATGGAGTTAGCAGAGGCTAGATTTGGCTGTCCCCAAACTTTCCTTGCTCTTTTTTACACTTAGCAGAGTCAATGGCATTCAAATTAAGACTATTTATTAGTATTTCTTAAGTATGTAAAAAGAGTAACCATCTCATTAAATTTGAAATGTTGATAAGATAGAACCTATCCCAGTAACTAATAAGTGCAACAACTTCACTGTAAGAGAAATGATACATTCTGATGCACTCATTCCTTGATTTCAAACCATGAAGTGTTACTGTGCTCTTTCAGTATTACAGCCTTTTGGTTTAGGTCGAGGTTTGTATGAACACAATCTGAAAACCAGCTGGCAGGTTAGCTATGAGGTATGAGTCATTTCTGACTCAATGGTACCTAACAACATCAAAAACAATCACTCAATGAGGGCACTTTGGTGGCCTTGTTGTATGGGGCTGCCCCGCAAGGCGTATCATTCAAAACCACCAGCTGCCCCATGAGAGAAAGAGAAAATATAATTTCATAGTTTACTGCCTCAGAAACTCACAGCATATTGGAGTATGAGTCAGTTCCAACTTGACAGTACACTACAACAATTGTTACTACACTGGAGAAAGGGGTTGCAGTTAGCTTCCAGAAAGATCTACAACTTCAGAAATCTTATCATGCAGTTTGTACTGTCATTTAGCTGGTAAGCTGGAATCAACTCACCATAAATATGTTTGAATTTTTGTTTTATATAAATAAGAAAACCTTAAAAAGTCAAATGTTTAAGGATCCTAGAGAAAATAATTTGGTTTTAGGTATATTTAATGAGAATATGGTAGGATCTTTAGTTTGACAAGTCCAATAACTTGTCATTTTCAAGCATTAGAGACATTCAGAAGACACTTTAGGAAAATAATATAAATATAAATATATATGTGTATGAAAGTCATGAAATGTTGCTTTTTTAAACTATGAAGAGGATCAATATAAATATATTTACAGATCATCAGATTTCAGGTATTTAACAATATATCATATACTAGAATGATTTAAATGAATCATGTCATCTTACTTGATAGATAAGGAATGTAAAGCTCAGAGAAGCGAAATAAAAGATCCATTTGTTAGGTGCTGTTGAGTCGAGAACGACCCAAAGTGACCTATGAATAACTGATAGGAACCCTGTCTTATATTGAGCCATCCATAATTCTAGGTAATATGCAGTCGTGTTAAAGAACTAAAGAGTAATGATTTTAGTCTAGGAACTAGAGTGTGCTAGTCTAGGAACTAAGGTGTGCCTGGGCCAGGCCATGATTTTCACAGTTATTTGCTACATATCAGAGAGTTAGAGAATGACTAAAGATGATAGAAGAAGAATTTATGCCTTTTAGCTGTGGGGCTTGGAAATATTCTGGACCACCAAGAGAATAAACAGGTCTGTGCTAGAGAAGGTGAAACCAAGTTTCGCCTTGGAGGCAAGGATTTTGAAACTCTGTCTCACATACATTGTAAACATACATGGCCAGAAGGGTCCAGTCCTTGGAGAAAGACATCATGGTTGGAAGGGTGGAAGGAGAGCACAGAAGAAGAAGACTCCAGATGTGATGATTGACACAGTAACTGGGGCAGGTTGGTGTGTCAGAGCCAGTGAGACTGGATGAGGATAGGGCAGGGTTCAGAGCTATTGTTAATAGGGTCACTATTAGTTCCAGGGTACTGGATGGCACATAACAAAAATAACAAAAACAATGCAGTAGAGATAAGACTTTAATCAGATTTCTCTGATTAAGAAAACAAAGCTAAAACATATATTCACACATTATTTATGACTCTTTAGTATTAATTAATATTGCTTAAGGATAATATTTCAATTAGAAAGTCTAACTGGAGAATACGGAAGAGTTTCAGATAAAGAGTCAAGTAACAAATGGAAAAAGGAGTCTCAGACAACAAATACAGTCTGCTTTGTCCCAGGATTTAAAAAAAAATTATAAAATTCAATGTTTATTAAATAGCTGGAGACTAGAATAACAACACAAAAATAAGCAAGTAATGTTATTTACCAATTAAAAGGAATTTAAGAATAAATTTTCAAATAACAGGTAAAGTATATGAACACATATATGGCAGAAAATACCTCTCAGACTTTTATATTAGTGAATTGATAAATATGAGATGAAAGTTTTTTCATATTGGTAAAAAAAGGTTTTTCAAATCTGAAAATTGGACTGACTATATTAATAACAGCTAAAAGTCCCCTGTTAGTGTGTATCAAAATTAAATTATAGCTATCACTTTCTGAATTGGTTAGTATTTTTTTCTCTATTATGAGAACATTAAAGCTGATTATTTTTATGCAATCAAATATATTCATTGCTTTATCTAAATTCAGTATTGTTGAATATCATATTAAGAGATTTTTCTAATTGATTTCACAAAGAATGTCAAACACAATTAATTTCCAGGAAAATAAAACTGTCTTCTTTTAGCTTATGATCCATACAAAACATGCATGAAGAAACTTAGTATGATACAATCTAGTACAATGAGGGAAATGTAACAGATTGAGCAAGTCAATTTGCAACTTGTTGGGACAGTGGTAAACCAGGAATCTTTTTCACCATTTATTTCTCATTTGGTCCCTAATCTGAGATGTTTATAGCAGACATAGAATAATTTTCAGGAGAAAATAGCAAGTCTGTTTTTCCTTTTTATATTTTTTAGTATATATAGTAAGCCTAATTCTATTTGCTATTTCATGTCTATGTATTTTACTTTAATTGTCAAATATCCAATGTAAAAATAGATATCTATCATTTATAATATAAAATCAAATTAAAATACGGCTTGAATTTTTCACATAAAAAAGAAACATCAAATAGTGCATAATTTCAATTTATAATAAAATAATTTTAAAAATAAATCTTTTGTAAATAATTGGAAATGAACTTCAGGGTAAAAACTTATAATAACAAAGGTTATAAAACCTAGAAGTATAAAATAAACACACCAAGAACTGTACAACCACAATTACGGTGCTAAGAAAAAACAGCGCTTCAATCTATTTAACCCGTTTCCATAAAATAAAGTTAATAGCATATGATTTAATCATACAAAGTTAGGGAACAAACATGATTCACTGCAGAAACTGAGAACACCTACTTTTGCAGTTGTACAAAATATATACTTATTAATGATATCCTCTCAACTATTAACACATTAAATCACAATTCTGATTAAACTGTTCTACCAAATATATAACTGATTTTGCAAAGTTTATAAAAATTAAGTGAGTTGACTTACTGTCTGGAAGGCTCGGGAAATTTAAGCTCTTCTCTTTTCTTCATTTCTATTGGTGGTTCCATAGGCGTAAGAACTACAGCAGCACATGAGACTATAGAATGGTAGGAATCTTCTCGGCAAACTGGTGTTTATCCAAAAAGAAGAATTGTAAATGTCAAAATGATTATCAACTATTCTTAGTTACCTTTCATCATTTTCTAGTTTTCAGGCAAATAAAAGAGATAAACCAGCAAAACAGTGACAATCATTAAATTATTCCTAATTATCATCTTGCAGTCTAATTATTTACACCAGTAACTGCAAAACCTTGGGTGGTTTAGGTTTGGTTTTTTGTTCGTTTGTTTTTATTTTTCAATCACACTGTGAAAAAAACAATATATTGTCAACAATTCATAGTGCAACACTTTTCACTGAGGAATAGCACATAACCATGTACAACAGATATATGAATCTTCACAACATTAATACATTAATTAATCTATATAATGAACACATGCAAGCAAGATTCTACTGAAGATTATCCAAAAAATGACTGGAACAGCACATCAGCAGAGGACTGCCAGAAGTCCAGGCTGGGTTTAGAAGGGGTCGTGGTACTAGGGATATTGTAGGTGATGTTAGATGGATCTTAGCTGAAAGCATGGAATAGCAGAGGAATGTATATCTGTGTTTCATT